CTATTTCCTAATCATTGTTTATGAAGAGTATAGCTTTTCTCACTTTACATGACTTCCATTTTTTAAGGGCACGTTGAAAGTCAAAGTCTTTTATGTCTGGTCCATCTTCTGAAATTCTCATTAGATCATCCAAGGTCTTACACTTAATGGATGTTCTGGCCCTTGATTTTATGCGATTTTGGGTACTAAAGCCACGTTCACATTGAACACTTGTCATTGGAATAACTGAACAACATTTTCAACAACATGATCAAGTTTGGGAGGTCATTTGTTTTCATCAATAAACACATCACTTCAATTAAGTCACTGTCACTATATGATCCTTTCACCAGACGTTTGTAAGTCTGATACTCAGACCTCACTTCTTCTTTGTTTTGGAGGTGGATGTGGAAGTGATCTGCCAGGGTTTCTATTTCCTGGAGGCCATATTTGGACAAACAGTCAGATTGGACAATGTTTTTTAGGGATTAACACTTTCATTTGTTTCAAGAATTTCAGTCTCATCAAATCTATCTCTTAAGTTGTCAGTCAGTTTTTGGATATACATGGGTGCCACAGTTTCAATAATGTTCTCCTGTTGGGTATAGTAGTGAAGCACTGGGGAGTAGCCTACATTTTCATCATCTCCTTCATCATCACTTTCATTAGAGAATCCATCAAATTCAATATTTTCCATTAGGGCACTATTGACAGACTTACAGTCAGATTCTGATAATGGTCTTTTGTATACATACTTGCCATCTTCCTCAACCACAAACTTAGAGAGTTTTTCAACAAACAGTCCAGGTGCCTCTAGCAAGTCTTGTAAGCTTTCACAAGTGCTGGTAATCATTGGTTTCACTACACTGAAATCAACTGTTTGTGCCTGGAACTTCTTAGATAACCTTTGTCATGAAGGGGAGAATGTCCATCATAAGGTGAGTAAAGGCAATAAATTTGTATTGTGAAACTTCCTGTAATAGACCTTTAGCAGACGGCTCATAGATTGCCTCCCTTTTCTAGTGCCATACACAGTGCTGGGTAAGAACGGTACATAACCTGAACAGTATGATCTAAACTTAACCACCTCACTGAATGTACTTCCGCAAACTTTATTGATGGTAGATTAAGCTGTGTCTGAATTGTTCTTAAACGGTTTGATCGAAGTGCTGAGTTATGGAAGTATCTAAACACACTGGCAATTGATCTTGAGTAGCTTTCCATGTGTGGCACTAATTTGGCTGCCTGTGACGTGGCCAATGCTGTTCTGTGAGCTGCACAATGGACACCTATTAATGTTGGGGAATGTTCTTTGAGTAATTTCACTACTCCACCTTTCAGGCCTGTCATTACACTAGCACCATCTGTCCCTAGGCCAACTAGTTTTGTAATATCAAGCCCTTTTGACTTGAGTTCCTCTACAACCATAGATACTATGTTCTTAGCACTAGCTGAACCCTCACTGATTTGTTTATTGGACAATAGACAATATTCTAACCCATGTTCTGTTACACACTGTGCGTACATTATTACTCTCTTCAAGTTTCCATTGTCAGTGCTTTCATCTAATGTCACAGAATACACCTCAGACTGCTGTATAGCCTTTATTTTATCATCCAATATTACCTCAGCCAGGGCTGCCTGGAACTCTGACACACTCTGGGAACTAGTGTATTGCACATTACAGTTACTTTTTGATAACTCTACACCAAGAAGGGAAGCATAGTCTACCATGTGTCTCTTTTCATCCTTCGGTAATTCTCGTTTTGCTATATGATAGGCTGTTTTCAGGAGATTTAGCGCAATTTCATCATCTTTGTGAAGTTTTGCTTCTAACAGCTTTTGCATTGGTTTTTGAGTTTTCATTGTTGACCTATGGACAGCATTCAAGTGGCTTTGTGCTGAAAATAATAAAATAGTTCTAAGACTCACAAGAAATTATTAAGTTGTGAAACAGTCTATCATTACATAAATTTTTTATCAATCAGTTTCTGATATACAAAAATGCACAAGTTTCAAGTAGACCCCATTTTTCTATACACAAGAAAGAAGTCAAAGTATACTGTGCCTTTAATTTTCAAAGACACACCAGAAATTACTTAGTTGTAAAATAGTCAGTCAATCATTTTTACATAAATTTCATATCAATCAGTTTCTGATATACAGAACTGCACAATTTTCAAGTGGACATTTTTTAACACAAACAAAAAGTCTATTTATATTCATGTGCCTTTAATTATCAGGTCTTTGAATAATTCAAATAGATTTAACATTTATTACCATTAGTCAGTTTCACCTATAAAAAAATCGCCACAAGTTTGATTAATGATCAAGAAGTACACATTTTTTTTTATTATAAAATTATAAGCATCTTGCTTTTGAATTTAATTCACTTATGTGTACTTACAACTAGCATGACGACTGTGATTTGTTGTTTTAGCGGGTACTTCGTGTCCCTTTGCATAAGCATTATCGTGCTTATTTTCCCTGCATAATTTACAATGCCACAGACCGTTCGTATCCTGAACATACCAATCGAAAGATGACTGCCGTAATTCCTTGGTAAATATCTTTTTCTTTGCAGGAGAGTTTGAATCAGAAATTTCTGTTTCTGGAGATTTACGTTTGAACGAACTCGACTTTTGCGAGTCGCCCTGTAACCAGGATTTTAGCGACATGTTTACAGTTCAAATTTTCACTTGAAAATGATATCGTTTCATTTGAAAATTGATTCGGATGTTTTAAAGTATTTAAAACTAATTGCAATTATCACAAAATTTTAATTATGTTGGTTCATTACCGACTTACCTTTATTTCATAACGCACCGCGTGACAAACATTTCCCAGATTGTAAACAAATCTATGCAATCAAACACAATCAAAAACAATTAAACATACCTACCCCGTCTACTCAATATTTACATCGGCGAATAACAAAGGACACATGACCCAATTGGAGCTGTTTATGATGTCACCTACATGTGTTAATTGTGGTCAATTAGCGATATTTTAATCCGCTATCATGTACGTTTTCGGATCGACAGTTACTGCGAGGTACCAATCAACGCTCGGAGGCGTGGCTTAAATTTTATTGACAGGCGACTTGTGTCACGTAGACATGTTTACAAGCGTCGGCAGACCAAAAAACTCGGCGAAATTTTTTTCGCTTTGATGTTACCAGTCGGCGAAGTTCAGATGAATCGGGCGACTTAATCGCCTAAATCGCCCAGTTGCTAGAGCCCTGTCTAAGATGTTTAGCATGAAATATCTTCTTATGGGTGTCTTCCAAGTTTGTTCAAATAAAAGCCCTTGGGTTAAAATCGGCCCTGTGGGGGGGGGGCGCTATGTACAGGTGAGCGACTTCAGGGTCATCATGGCCCTCTTGTTATGACTGTCATAGTGTATGACCATAATCCATGAGAATTTTTTTTTTAGATGAAGATGGCAGTAAACTATATCTGGTGGATTTCGAAAAGAAAAGCATAGATGATTTTGAGGAAAGGAGAGAGAAAGAACGGCGGGAGAAAGATGATATAGATAGAAGAGAGTTTGAGGAAGAACAAAGACAACTGGCTGAACCTGTCCCTTTGCCTGATACAGTAGAAGAAGAGTGGTATTGCTTAATATTTGTCATTTTGAATGGAATCAATCAAAATATGGTGCATGAAATATTGTCTTATAGATCTCTACCATGTGTGTTCAAAATTATTTTGGCCATATGGGTGTTTAAACAGGTATTATTTTGTCTCCCAACTTCTTCATTCCATATACATTATAGTTAATGCAATATTTGAAAATTGTTATTATTTTTACTTATCTTCTTTGTGACTATAAATGGTATCTTTAAACTTAAAGTTAAACTGATATCAATGTTCATAAATCTAGCATCGTTATTTCAAGAGTTATCTCCTCTTTAAAATTTTGTATTAAAATATGTTATATTTTGGTAACAGGGATGTTTAAAAAAATAACTTAAGAGTCCTTCAGTCTGTCTGTCTGTCTGTTCATAAAAACTATTTCCTGAGATCACTTTTAAAGATTTTTCCAACAAATTTACTTAAAATAGAGATAAATTGAAACATTAGTTATACTTATTCATCCTGAGAAAATTGACCTTTTGATTATCTGTTGTATAAACATAATTTCCTTACTATGCAGGGAAACTTAACACATTACTATATCAAACTTAGAACTCAAAAGATTTAAGTTCATTTATGTCATTCATTTACTGGTAAAATTGAATGGCAATTGACCCATCAGAATGTTGCTGGGGTTCTAACCAGTAGGGGACTTATGTATTGCTTGCAATACTATGATAATTGCTTGTTCAATGCAGAAAAAACTTAAAATATCATTTTTTTAAAAACCCAAAGAGGTAGAGCTTAGATATTTGGCATGAAGCATCTTGAAGTGAGTGTCTATCAAGTTTGTCCAAATAAAAGCTCAGGGGTCAAAATTGGCCAGGGTGTCATTACTTTTCCTTATTTGTATATAGTAAACTCAAAGAGCTAGAGCATTAATATTTGGAATGAAACATTGTCTGATAGGTGTCAACCAAGTTTGTTCAAATAAAAGCCCTGGGGTCAAAATTGGCCCCAGCCCGGGTGGTTATTGATTTTCCTTGTATGTATATAGTAAAAACTTAAAAAATTATCATTATTAAAATTATCAAAATTTATCATGAAAGATCTTCTAATGGGTTTCTACCAAGTTGGTTAAAAAAAAGCCCCTGGGTTAAAATTAGCCCCGCCCCAAGGTCTATATACAGGTGAGCCATTTCAGGGCCATCATGGCCCTCTTGTGTCTGATTAACAGACAATTTTTTATAAGGGGTCAAAGCTGTGTAGAGTTATTTGAAGAGTACTGACTTCTGGAGTTAAAATTGGCCCCTCCCTCAGGGATATATACAGTCAAGATTGTCATATGTGGCTTTCAAAGGTCACATATTATGACAGGGATTCTATTAATACAGTTGCACAGAAAATTAAATTTTTTATACCATCTGTATACCATTGTGTCTTAACATACATAACTGTGTGAAAGAATAATATCTAACCAATTGCATTTAAACATTATAAGGTCCTTTAAGTATTTAATGTAAATGAAAATAAGAATGCCTGTAAAATGGTACAAAATAAACTTTAATTTGATGCATTTAAAATCCTTTAAATAAATATACTTCAAACTATATATTTATATCCAAAGTTTTTTTAATCCTCTACCATGTAGCAGAAAGGAGATTATAGGAATGGCCTCCTCTGTCAGTCCTTCCGTGCGTCTGTCCGTGCCATTTAATACAATTAGGGGTCAAGTAACTGTAAATAGAACAAAACAGAACAATAGAGTTAATTCCGTAAAAATAGAATGCCATGGCCCTTTATTAAACAAAAGAAAATAACAAAAGAAATGGCCCTTTAGTCCATTTAATTGGAACATTCGAATCCTCTCCATATTTCATCCAAACTTCACAGGAATGTTCCTTTGGTGGTCGCCTTTGAAAATTGTTCAAAGAATTTAATTCCATGCAGAACTCTGGTTGCCATGGCATCCAAAAGAAAAAACTTAAAATACCTTCTTCTAAAAAAACCAAAGAGCTAGAGCTTAGATATTTGGCATGAAACATCTTCTAGTGAGTGTCTACCAAGTTTTTTTCAAATAAAAGCCCTGGGGTCAAAATTGCCACCGCCCAAGGGGGTCATTGATTTTCCCTATATGCAAATAGTAAAAACTTAAAAAATCTTCTTTTAAAGAACCCAAAGAGCTAGAGCTAAGATATTTAGCATGAAACATCTTCTATTGGGTGTCTACCAAGTTTGTTCAAATAAAAGCCCTGGGGTCAAAATTGGCCCGCAACAGGGGGTCAAGGATTTTCCCTATATACAGATAGTAAAAACTTAAAAAATCTTCTTTTAAAGAACCCAAAGAGCTAGAGCTAAGATATTTAGCATGAAATATGTTCTAATGGATGTCTACCAAGTTTGTTCAAATAAGAGCCCTGGCGTCAAAACTGGCCCCGCCCCGGGGGGGGGGGGTCATTGATTTTCCTTATATGTGTATAGCAAAAACTTACAAAATCTTTTTTAAAAAAAACCAAATAGCTAAAGTTTAGATACTAAGCATGAAACATCTTCTAGTGACTGTCTACCAAGTTTGTTCAAATAAAAGCCCTGGGGTCAAAATTGGCCCCGCCCCGGGGGTCATTCATTTTCCTTATATGTGTATAACAAAAACTTAAAAAATCTTCTTAGAAAAAACTCAAATAGCTAGAGTTTAGATATTAAGCATGAAGCATTTTCTAGTGAGTGTCTACAAAGTTTGTTCAAATAAAAGCCCTGGGGTCAAAATTGGCCCGGCCCCGGGGGACGTTGATTTTCCTTATATGTGTATAGCAAAATTTTAAAAATCTTCTTTGAAAAAACCCGAATAGCTAGAGTTCAGATATTGAGCATGAAACATTTTTATGCTCCCCGAAAAATTTCGGGGGAGCATATAGTCGGCGCCTTGTCTGTCTGTCCGTCCATCCGTCTGTCCGTCCGTTTTCTTGTCCAGAGCATAACTTGAAAACCCTTGGAGATAATTTGTTTAAACTTCATACAGTGGTAGAGGGCATTGAGGGGGAGTGCAGTGTCAAAGAACCATAACTCTATTTTGCCCGGTTTTTGAATTATCTCCCCTTATAGAAAAATCTTGTCCGGGGCATAACTCTAAAACTATAAGAGATATCAGCATGAAACTTTGTAGGTGAATAGATCTCAATGGGTAGATGTGCAGTGCATAAGACCAATAACTCTTTTTGTCCTAATTTTGGAGTTATTGCCCTTTGTTAATTTCAACACTTTGAACTTTGTCCGGAACATAACTCTAAAACTATAAGACATATCAAGATGAAACATTGTAGGTAGATAGATCTTATTGAGTAGAAGTGCAGTGTAAAAGAACCATAACTATGTTAAGCCTCATTTTTGAATTATCACCCCTTATAGAAAAATCTTGTCCGGGGCATAACTCTAAAACTATAAGAGATATCAAGATGACACTTTGTAGGTGAATAGATCTCAATGGGTAGATGTGCAGTGCATAAGAACAATAACACTTTTTGTCCTAATTTTGGAGTTATTGCCCTTTGTTAATTTTAACACTGAACTTTGTCCGGAACATAACTCTAAAATTATAAGAGATATCAAGATGAAACATGTAGGTAGATAGATCTCATTGAGTAGAAGTGCAGTGCAAAAAAACCATAACTCTGTTAAGCCTCATTTTTGGCCGGGTTGCACAGGTGCAAACCCGTGTTATAGTATGGTGAATGTTGGACGGCAGGTGGGCGTCCGGGCGGGCGGCGGGTGGTCGGGGAAAAAAACTTTCGTAACAGTTTTCTCAGCAACTACTTATCACAGCCTCTTGATATTTGGCATACAGCATTGACACATGGTCCCATACCGTGGGATTCGATTTCAGGTCTGTCGCTCATCCACTTCCTGTTTATCCACTTAGTTAAATTAGTTAGATTTTTTCGACATTAATGGTCAATGCTAGGAAATTTTCGTAACAGTTTTCTCAGCAACTACTTATCACAGTCTCTTGATATTTGGCATACAGCATTGACACATGGTCCCATACTGTGGGATTCGATTTCAGGTCTGTCGCTCATCCACTTCCTGTTTATCCACTTAGTTAAATTAGTTAGATTTTTCGACATTAATGGTCAATGGTAGGAAATTTTCGTAACAGTTTTCTCAGCAACTACTTATCACAGCCTCTTGATATTTGGCATACAGCATTGACACATGGTCCCATACTGTGGGATTTGATTTCAGGTCTGTCGCTCATCCACTTCCTGTTTATCCACTTAGTTAAATTAGTTAGATTTTTTGACATTAATGGTCAATGGTAGGAAATTTTCGTAACAGTTTTCTCAGCAACTACTTATCACAGTCTCTTGATATTTGGCATACAGCATTGACACATTGTCCCATACCGTTGGAATTGATTTCAGGTCTGTCGCTCATCCACTTCCTGTTTATCCACTTAGTTAAATTAGTTAGATTTTTTGACATTAATGGTCAATGGTAGGAAATTTTCGTAACAGTTTTCTCAGCAACTACTAATCACAGCCTCTTGATATTTGGCATGCAGCATTGACACATGGTCCCATACTGTGGAATTCGATTTCAAGTCTGCAGCTCATCCACTTCCTGTTCACATTAATGGTCAATGGTAGGAAATTTTCGTAACATTTTTCTCAGAAACTACTAATCACAGCCTCTTGATATTTGGCATAGTTACAGCATTGACACATGGTCCCATACTGTGGGTTTCGATTTTAGGTGTGTAGCTAATCCACTTCCTGTTTACCTACTGAATTAAATTTTCGACATTAATGGGTCAATAGAAATTTTCGTAACATTACAGCCTCATGATATTTTGTATACATATGCAACCCGGCCTTTTCTGTCTTTGACCCATTTTTGAATTATCTCCCCTTTTAGAAAAATCTTGTACTGGACATAGCTTTAAAACTATAAGAGATATGAACATGAAACTTTGTAGGTAGATGTATCTCAATGGGTAGATGTGCAGTGCACAAGAACCGTAACTCTGCCTGCCTAATTT